GCTAGACTTTCCCCTTGCTTACCCTAAGGCAATCCAAATCCCAAGAGGTACACCAAGGGAAATCTCTAGCGCCTTCTTCTCTCTCAAGCTAGGCCACGGATACTTTAACGCCTATCTAGAGAGAGTGAAAAAGAGAAACTCAAACCTCTGCGATTGTGGGAGAGTACAGACACTAGATCACCTTCTCCTATACTGCTGGCACTACAACACAGAAAGGCAAGCGCTAAAAGCAACTCTTCGCGAGAACTACCTAAAAATCCAACTACTCCTCCACACTAGCAAAGGCAGAGAGGCGACTTTAGCTTTCATTGCTAAAACTAGAGTAGGGACTAGAGGCTGGCATCTAGGCCAAGAACAAGATAACTAAAAATAAGCGAGAACAGAGAGACACTACCTAAACCCAATAATAACTAACGAACTTTCTTAAGTTACTTTCCTTAGCCCTAAAAGAGCTCGCTGGAAGACAGCCCTGCTGTCTAACATCTCTTCCTGTTTACTAAACTGCTCTTCAGCAACTGGAGTCCGCTTTAAGCGCAGCTAGAAGCGACTAAACCGCAGCACAATAGCAGTACTATACAGAGAACACTCTCACTTTAAACAAATTGTACCTAGAACGGCCTCTGGCCAAAGTCTTACATAGTCACTGACTGCAGATAGACTCTAATGGAATAATAATAATAATAACAGAAAAGCCTATATACGATAGCAATAGTTAGAATAACTATTAGACTACAAGTGATAGAACCTTTATAGCTACTAACCACCTACGCATAGCGTGGCGAAAGGGTCTCCACCTCGGGATCTCTTTTTCCACTATAGCTCTTCGTGTACTAGGCCTAATTAGGTGACTAATCCCTTATTTTATAGCCCTAATATAGATCTATAACTAACTAATATAGAGTATTACGCTAACTAGAATAGGTAAGAAGTTATACCTCTTTGGGCTAGCATGTGGAGACCTAAGTCTTGGCAAGGTGGGTAGGCTAATAACTTCTTACCTATTCTAGTTAGCGTAATCTCTTATATTAGCTAGTTATAGATCTATATTAGGGCTACAAGATAAGCTATTAATTACCTAATTAGGCCTAGTACTCGAAGAGCTATAGTGGAAAAAGAGATCCCGAGGTGGAGACCCATTCGCCACGCTAGGCGTGAGCCGTTCACTTGAGTTAGCCGCTTACTTGTGAACTAAACCATTTTAAATTATCTCCATGGTAATATTGTAAAACGCTGAACCCAATCTCCTTTCTAATCACCTTTTAAAGTGATATTTCTGCAGGTACTATGCCAAGAAGAATACGTTCCTTTGCCATATTGAGCTACTTGGTCGTGAGAATCGCTTCCTTCTTCGATCTAACTTGACATGACGATACGTAATGTAAGTGAAAGTAGAGCCAACTGCAACTTTCTAAGTTTTTCCCGACATCTTCATATTCTACTCTATGCGTCGAGCGCGTGGTGCTGTCCCATTTACTATGCCTTTTACCAACTTGGCATGTAGTATTTCGTAGACGGGTATTTCAGCAAGTATAGACGCGATGTGATGCAATGTAGGGAGAGCATCCCAATCATGTGCCTGGCAGTCGATGTTTGCTTCTGCGGACTGTGCAGCGAACGTGATCGTCCCGCCATTCTTCACTCGCCCCTCGTCAGCGTGCGTGACCACACATGCATATGCCGCATCCGGCTTGTCCGGCTCATCCACCGACGGGATGTAACGGTACGCGAGAACATTGGTCTCGCCCCAGTAGGCTCCACCTTCAACAGAATCCTTGCCAATCTCCTCAAGCTTTGGAAGTGTGATCTCAACCAACTTGGACCCCTTCCAGGTGGCTGTTGCTCGACAAGTGCTGCCAGAGTGGTTGAGTTGTACGTCACATCCGAATTTTGGGAGACCGAACAGCTCTCGTCCAGCTACTACGGCGTCGCTCAATGACTCAAAGAGCACCGGGATGAAAGCACCATTCACCATGCTGCCATCCTTTTTTCTCACATAACGCACACCATGGAAAAATAGGGCCATGGTGCAGTATCCCTCACCACCTAGCCAGGGAACTCGACCAAATTTCGTGATGGACCAACTTGCTGTGCAGACAGTATCGACTCGTCGGAACTGAAACTGGTCCGTGGGAAACATGTTTTGCAGAACCGTGCGCGAAGTCTTGAACCTGACGTTGAGCGTCGTAAACTCACGGTAACCACCACCTTCCTTTGATTGATATTGCCGGCCATAATAGTCTTGCAGTGGACTAGGACTGGGTCCAAATCCTATTGGCATTTGCGAGGAGATGGCGGGTTTCTGAGCCCAAAGCCATCGCCTGAAATGCTTAATGCTATTGTCAAACTCATCAAAGGCATGAGTGAAGTCAGTGTCTATAGTTTGATTAGTATAGAACCAAACAAATGACGATCAGCATTAGTTGTGCATCCAAGGGTAATTCACAGCTTGGAACTACAGGATAGGGGAAAAATGACTCACTGTCAACATTGAGCTTTCCTTCGACCCAATCTCTGCCAGCTTGGCGTGATAGCTCTTGAATTTTATGAGCCCTTTCACGCCGTATTTGTTCGTATAGTTGAAGGCGTTCTACAACTTCTTCAGGCTTGGTTCCCTGAGGAAGCACCACCGACAAGGACGCCGCATCCTCAATGGCCATGGCTGCCCCTTGACCTTGATCTATATAGAATAGTCAGCAACAACATTTCACGTATCAATTTCGAGATCAGCTTGGAAATTGTCAACTAACGCGGAGTGAAAGGATGGGCCGCGTCTCCTAGTAGAGCCACACGGTCACGAGTCCAGGGAATTTCCTCCATGTCCATCAGTTGCCAGACCTTAATTTGGGCTGGATTAGCTTTGCGCATCAGGCCTGTCAGTGTCGGGTCAAAGTTTTCGAAGACTCTAAGCATCTGGCTGAGGTCGCCTTGTTTTGACCATGCTGAATTATGTTATTATAAATTAACGTCTGGAAGCTCCTCTGACAACAGAGATTAATTAGATTTGGGATGGTAGCTTACTAGTTGTCTGTTCCCGATGCGACTCGTCATCTGGATGTATGCAAACGAAGTTAAGCAGTCGGTTATCATCGCATGAGTACATGACGACTCTCCTATCCTTGGCCAACCAGGTGCAAAGGCTGTTTTTTTGCTCACTTAGGCGCCGTGTGAGAGCATCGTCTGCTGCAAGTTGGTATGTCACTTGGAACCTAAAGGCTGCTTTTCCAGTTGGATAAGGAGAAGCATTGCTCAAGACGCTTCTTACCGATGACTGCAGCATGCGAATCATTCGAATGTTAGCGAGATATCAACATGGAAAACAACCACTCCCTTGCACCCCTGGGATTGGATATAGAGACTGGACTTTCAGCAACTTACATGTATTCCATCAGCACCCAGGATAACATCGCCCATCAAGCTCGTACCGTTATCCAACCATACGCGTCCCAGTTCAGCGTCTACTCGGACGACCTTGCTTGAGGTCTGTAAAACAGCTGGAGTGCCGGTGCCATGGGTTGCAGTAGCCGCCTCCTTCAACTTAGTATGGAGAGCAGTCCTCTGCGCAATGAGCCACGGATGCGCCCACCTCTTGTTCGCCTGCACCAAGTTGATGTCAGTCAGCAGACGTCCATCATAGACGTACTCCAGGACTCTATCGTTGGGAACCGAGCCGAATGTTTCAGCAAAAATACCGCAACGCCTCAGGAGACCATTGGCATTTGGAGTCAAGTGGACAGCGGCTCCTGCTTCGCTTGCTAGTCGAGACTGCTCCAGTAGCGTGACATGGTGCCCGTTGTGGCGAAGAGAGACGGCTGCTGTTAAACCGCCAATGCCAGCGCCAACAATCAGAATTACGAGGGGTCTTGGCTTATGGTTGGGGGGGTCACCCTCGGCCGCTCGTAATTGCTCGCATTGAGGGAGAAAGCTACCCATGATGCTTGGTAGCTGGTAGAATTGAGTGGACTCAAAATGAGACAATGTTTTATATCAGTGTACGACCGAGATAAAACTCGAAGTCAATTAGAATAGAGGTACATTGTGAAAAAGATTCTATGAGCAAGGTATATAAATTTGACCATAAATCCGAATAGACAGGATAAAGCATAGAGAGGTTTGTCACCAAACAATGTCAAGGGTGTGCCGAAGAGGTGTAGGCGGCCCGAATATTACTACCTAGAGCATTGCCGATGACGACTATATAGAGGCAATAATGGAAGAAGACTTGATGGAGCGGATTGGGCCGGAATGGACTAGGTATATTATCAGTACACAGTAGACCCTAGTTCGGGTCGAACCGAGAGGAGAGCTAGTCCGGAATCACTCAGTAATACGACATGTATCAGATGAGAGCGATAGCCTCTATCTCTTTGGTCCCTTGATCTAATGGAGTGGAGGCGTACGATTGATCAGATTAGCTGAGACCAAATTAGGCCTAGCGCTTACTATTGAAAAGCAGACGCATAGACACGGCAACGGTTAAACAACCCACCACTAATAGCTATTTCACCCACCTTGAAGCTAGGGCCCCCTACATAGCGCGCTCAGCTATATTATTAGTAGTATTATATATTAATTACGCTTATATAGCTATATAGTAGTAATCTTAAGTGCTTAAAGATAGCTAGTGTATAAGTAATAAGTAAGTAGTATTATATAGTTAAAATAGAAATTATAGAAGTAGAAAAGTAATACTTACAAACTAGTTACATTACTTAAGTTTTAATATTCTATATAGCCTAAAACCTAGCCTAAAATAGGCTTTTAGCTACTTAATAAAAAAGCTATAGATAGTATAGTATGATTAGCGTGGCGAAAGGGTCTCCACCTCGGGATCTCTTTTTCCACTATAGCTCTTCGTGTACTAGGCCTTATTAGGTGACTAATCCCTTATTTTATAGCCCTAATATATGTTATGGGCGAGAGAGGCCTAACTAACGAGTATGCATTCACCTATTGTACAGAAGAAGAAAGATATAGAAAAGAACTATCTAGAGGGCCCTCCTTTTATAGTTGTTACTCGTACGAACGCTTAGACCTTTAGTCTTCCTCCTTACTTAAGCTTGTTCGTACGTAGCTAACCACGTTATTTAGTTACGTGACTAAAGTCATGTGATTCGCTACTATGTGACCTGTAGGTCATACCTCTCTGGCGTAGCCCTTTACAATATAGATCTATAACTAACTAATATAGAGTATTACGCTAACTAGAATAGGTAAGAAGTTATACCTCTTTGGGCTAGTATGTGGAGACCTAAGTCTTGGCAAGGTGGGTAGGCTAATAACTTCTTACTCATTCTAGTTAGCGTAATATCTTATATTAGCCAGTTATAGATCTATATACGGGCTACAAGATAAGCTATTAATTACCTAATTAGGCCTAGTACTCGAAGAGCTATAGTGGAAAAAGAGATCCCGAGGTGGGGACCCTTTCGCCACGCTACTTATAATTACCTACTACTTAAAGATAAATTTATATTTTGTAATGGGCGGGCCCTCACAGGCTAAGCGTACAACTACTTACGCCATCCATAGCCAAAAAGGCAGTAACAAGACTTCAAGCTTCTTGAAGTCTGGATAGTCGCATAGATATACCCTGCTTGGCAAATCCAAGCCACACATGGGCGTAGCCCCTTACATATTTACTTAGTTCTAAAGAGTAACCTATAAAGTATTACTAGAGAAGAGGTTAAAGAAAATTTAAGTAGTATTGAAAGGTCTAAACTAGCGTGGCGAATGGGTCTCCACCTCGGGATCT